TCGGTTAACCTGCAGAGAAATCCATTTGTGAGTGGACCAGCCAACCAGTGTGAGATCCCACGAGAGCTGGCACTGCACCACTCTGTCCACAGCCAGAAGCTCCCGTAAATATATGTCAAATGAGTGACTCGATGAACAGTCACCTAATGAGTGATGCCCGAATACAGATTTCAATGTTTTTATATACATACTTCTATTTCATTTCCTCGTCCTTCATAAGAAACTGAAAGTGATGAGATTGACCTGGACAGCCGAAAAGTCTTGTCGGCCTCGCCTCGCGCAGGCCAGACCTGAAAATAGGTCCTTATCACTGCTTCTGGAGAAAGGCTTACTGTGTCCAGCAGCTTGCTGCATTTGTTAATAAGCTTCCCACACTCTGGTCCTGCCCCGTTCAGAGTCCTGGGTTCCTTAGTGCTGAGGGACAGACCCCCATAAGCGGCCACTCTCGCTCCACGTTTTTGCCCTCGGCTTTAGCTGAGGATGCTCTTTGATGTCCCCACCCTGGCGTGGGTTCCTTTGCAATTGCAGAGCCTGAGAGTGACACTGGCTGCTCTTTGTCTCTTGGTGGGTCGCCCCCGCCCCCTTTGGCATAATTAATATTCTGCTGTGCCTTTTGTAATCATGTCTTTGGGGATCCCCTAGCCTTCCACGCTCTTGGGCTTTATTTAATGGTGCACTCCCTCCTCAACACTCTGCACTCAACCATGCTCACTCAATGTCTTAATCCTTCGTAATTTGCTTTCATGAAATCTTACACCTTTGAGTTGCTGTGTTCTGTGAGTCCACTTCCTTAGCAGAGCTGTTTCAAGCTGCCCAGAATCAATAAGCGCTAAACATGAGCTTATTCTCTTTCTCAACCAATACGACTCTACAGGAAGAAAAAAAAATCTTCGTTTTGAAGGTTTATGGGCTATGAAACTGTACCATTTAACTTGGCATTTCGTTTTCTCACCCAAACACTGCCCGAGAAGGTTAGGACCACAGAATTATAGAACGGGCAGTCTTTCACTGACGGTTATTAACTTCTTTATAAGCATCAGGTTCTTCTTGGTCAGAAAGCTATTCTCTTTTAATAGCAGAGAATTAACAGTATCCTGATGTTATATGAGTGACTAGTAAATTCCAACTACATCTTTGCCTTGCATCCAGAATTCAGGAGAAGAGAAAGACATCTTTTTTCAGTTACTCTGCAAGAGCTCTGCTTTTCCAAATGGGTTGTTTTCGAAAGACGTGTGCACATTCTAGAAATGTGACCACAGAGCCAATGCTGGGTTTTTCACCAGGGCATTCTTTGCTTTTTTTTTTTTTCCCATTCTGATCATTACTGCCTCATTACTCTTTGCTGTTGGGTATGCTCAGAAGGACCAAGAAAGCACACATCGGAGGTTTTAGTTTTTTTTTAACTTCCTAGGGACCTTGGTTTAGACAGACATATACACTACTCATGGGCTGAGTTAATGGAGTTTCCAAAGGTACCCTGCTCGTTTAAGCAAAGTTTACACTTCGACCCTGTACATGTTAACTTGCGCTCCCCCCGTCCAGATGACAGAAAGCAAAGCCAGTGAGTTCTTTACGTAATTGGTTTGCATCTACACACGACCCCCAAGGCTCTGTTTATATAGCCTATCATGCAATATATTCCACAGTTCTCTGCCTCTTTCAAAAGCACGTTTCTCCTGAGATTTGATATATGGCTTTCATGTTTAGTCACTACATTAAACTCAATGCTCTGCTTCCTCCGACATCAACTAACTTCCCTCCTTGGGCGGTGGTAGAAGAGCACGGCTTCTTGCTACTTCTGAACATAAAAGGAAGTCTGTTCGACTCGATTAGCAAAATCACCAACCCCACACCGTCCTCGGCAAGCAACACGAGGACATCAAGGAGGAGGTGGTGTTCAAATGGGAACCTTAACACTCCTTAAAAGGAAGGGCGGTGGGCTGTTCTCAACAGACAAAGCCAAAAACGTGAGGTGGATGGGTTATAAATCAATGGAAAAGGTCTTTAATCAGTATGTAACTCAGTATACTGGGAGCTAAAGTTTTAACCAAATTAATCTTGAGAATAGGACATTCCTGGGTTTCTCAGATCGGCATTAATTCAGCACCCCTGCCTTCTGGTTGAAGGTTTTCTTCACCACACCATTCACCATAAATAGAACTTCCAAAGAGACTTTAACTGAAGGTGGACGTGGAAATGCCACGACCCTTTTCATAATAATTTGCATGTGACCCAAATCTCTAAGGTAGATGAAAACTTCAGAACGGTAGTTTGACAGGTAAAGATGATAATCTTCAGATCTTCAGAATCACATGTATGTATTTTACTTTAAGATAGTTCAAGCAAAAAAAGAAAGGTTAAAAAATGGCAAATTATGAACAATAACAAAATTGAACTGATGGTTATATGGGTGTTCATCATACTATACTTTCTACTATGGTGGAAATTTTTCATTATAACATTTTTTAAATTGAAAATATACAAGAAGGTTGTTTGAGAATTTGCTTTGTAGAAAAAAACTTGATATAATTCTGATAAAAATTCTAAACCAATTCCTAGGTTAATCATTTTGTAGATATTCAACAACTGAAATGTTTTACCCTGTGCCAGCAATGAAAATTTTCCTTCTTCCTCCTGTATCTCACTCCACAGCCTAAAACTCACACAAACTACAAATGTCATGTGGCAAGCTCTGCAGAAATTGGGTACATTCCTTTTAAAAAAAATGCACTCATATATACATAATTGGACTTTGAAATCCTCTCCGTTGTGGCTAGTCATTCACCATCGTATTTATTTTTTAAAGCTTTTTTTTCTTAGTAAGATTGGCATCTTCCTTCATTTAGAAAATCTTGCTTTGTCCCAGCTGTATACAACATTAAACAGAGTTAGTTTACTTTCTGCATTTGATGAACAGTAGAGAATCTGAGCCTATTAAAGTCATACATTTAATTATTCCAATATGCTACCTTATTTCTAACCGAAATTTGCATGCTAGAGAATGCCAAAGAATAAATTTCTAGCTTCCTTTGTCATGACTCCTTCATTCAATAGTGAGCTAAAAGAGCTTATGAGAAGAAATAATTACCTGTTTCTTAATTTGAAACCATCTGAATTCTTTCCACAACATATTTACATCAAAATTAAAAGAATAAATAAACTTTTAATCAGTACTCCCCTAAGACTTTTCAGAACACAGAACTTTGTAGTTTCCAAGGACATGCAGATGTTGTCCGTGATAGACATCATTTTAAAAAGTAGGGCTTAAAAAAAATAAAAGTCATAGACAAAATCTTTGGTCACAGGAGTTAAAGACTTATACCTGCACAGATGTTATAACTATTTTCATGATAAATACTAACCCGCAGGACAGGAATTTACCAGCACACTTTAATTTGGGTTTGAAAATTCAACATAAATTATGTGACTTTGACAATAACTGCCTAATATTTCAGTTTTGTCCTCTATTTCCAGGTTTTTCCCTTCAAAATAAACGTAGCGAACATATTCATTTTTAAAAAGCTATATTCCAGACCCTGTGCCCTAAAACCAGTTTTTGATCCGATGTGTAGGGGATGAAATCAGATCATAGTAAAGTAGGTTCTTAATGCGTTATTCGGGGACTCAATGGCAGAAATTTTAAAGAGGCATAATTGGGGGGGTAAAAATTCACTCTCCATCAACTTGATTCGTTTTCTGTATTTGAGTTGTATTATTCCTCAAGATTTTAATTATTGAAAAAAAGTGGAAAAAACTTTTCCCCTTATTGTGGGTCACCTGTGAATCAATCAGAGTTGACTAGCCAACAGGATGCCATCCTGGTTTTAGTTTCCACAGTTTCATGTTGTGAGCCAAAAAGGTTTGTCTCTGAGACTGCCATGGGTCCAGATAACTCAGTAGCCCCAGAAGACACAGAATAGCAAGACTTCTGGAGGCAAGGTACTGAAATCTGCTGCACTGCAGAATGCACAGACTCCAGAGCTGAGTCTCGCTAAATTCATCAAGCTCTAGAATGAAAGGGAGAAGTCTAGAAAGGTGGAAAGGCATGTTGAAGGGGAAAAGTCATGTTGGTTCCTAACATCGCTGTTAGGAACAACAGACAGCACTTGCTTCTTTGTGAACAGGATAAGCAAAAACATGTTTTAAGTCAAAGTAGAGCAAAACTTAAACCAGGGTAACAATGTTACTTTCAAAAATCAACAAGTCATACGTTTTTCTGTATACTATTTTTCTCCTGGAATTAAAAAATGAACATTTCTTTATCTGAAAACAGTCTAGCAAAGGGCATGATTCTTTTGTACCGAATGTGAGGCAATTTTTGGTGTTTCTGCTGTAAACACCATCAGAAACGCTGACATGCGTTAATTCTCAACAAGGGACAGATCGACACAGTCAGACCCATGCGTCCCATGGCTACATTCATGCTTAGTGAGAGGAAAACGTCTCACAAGGCTGATGCCCAACTGTCTGTGAGCAACGTGCATTTTGTCTTCACAAGTTCAAAATAATGGCTGAAGGTGACCTTTGTTTCCCATCTCCCCTTCCGCAGTCCAACCTTTTTTAAATGAACTAATAAGCCATGTTTACTGGCTGGGACTCTCTCGTTTGCTAAATTAAACATGTCCATCTCTCCCATTTGGTGACAAATCACTGGCAAGGGTCTTCCAATGCCTAAGGATGCTTTGTCCACTGAGAAAATAGTATTCTCTTCTGAGCACTCAGTATGTACACAACCCCCCAGCTCTGCTTTTAAGATGAAACTCTGCAGAGAGGGGACATTTAATGCTTATTGCAGAACTATGGAGAATCCCAAGTGAACATCTCAAGTGATGATCTGAAGCAGTCAATAGCCCAGCTTTGGGGGGGGGGGGGGACTCGTGTTATGAAAAGAGACTGCCCAGTCTGTTTAAAATCAGAATGGTTCTTGATCTGATGAATCACTCCTCAGGGGATAATGTAAATAAAATACACTCAGAATAGCATTATTAATGTAAACATACCTGAACCGGAGTCAAATTTGGTTTCTGACCTGCAAAGCGAAAGAAATTTTTTACAATATAAAAACTGTTTGTAAAAGAACGGTTATCCTATGGGGAGGGGTGTGGAGGGGTGTAATAGTTACATATTCCAGCATGTCGGTCAAGAAGTAAAATAGCTCTTTAAAACATAAATATATATTTATTTTAACCATGTTAAATACACACATGACCCCACACCCCCTAAATCTCCACACATCCATACAGATAGCTCAGTATAGAAAAGATATTAACTTCCTAAACTTGTGTTGGAAAGAAACAGGATAAATTATGTTTTTAGAGAGTGCACCTGATCGTCACAGATTAACTTGTTTCAGTAATGTAATAATAAAGCAATATGAAACCAAATTCACAATTACCTAACTCTTCATTATTGCAGATTTTAAATTATTCATCAGCAAGTGATTTTTCACTAAGTTCTTAGCACACAGCAAATGAACCTCGTAACCCCATACACTTAATAGGAAGAAGAAAAGAAAAAACCCTGCGTCCTTGTGGGAACGTTATGTTTCAGATATAGGTTAAGACTAGTGGCAAATTCAGAAGCCTTTGAAGCTCTCGGTCCGGCTGTGGGAAAACTTCTGCCGGGTAATTACCCTGGAGATGCGGCTGACGTGCTGTCAGGCAGAATTAACCCCGAGACTGGGCCCATCCACACAGGCGACTACGAGACAGCATTGTCTGGACCGAGCCTGCAAACCAATTAGTGGGCATGCTCGGGTCGGATTTATATCACACATTAACGATCAATAGTCTATACGTTCACAGCCGCCGCGCGAGACACAAGGCCCGGCCAGCAGGAGTCCTGGGGAAGGATGTGGCCTTGGCAGAGAAGAGGTTTTTTGTTTGGCTTTTTTTTCCTGGGGAAATGTAGTTAACTAAGTGGGAAAGGAGCTTTCTTTGAAAGAATGCCAGGGTGCCCTAGGCCTTTGGAAGCAGTGGCTCTTTTTACCTCAATTAGCGTCAAGAAAAGTCATCAAAGCGGGAGGGGGAGCTAGGAGCAAGAAGATGCTTCCTTGGTCCTCAGAATCCTCTTTCTCAAGTGTTCCGCCACGAAGCTCCACCAGTGCCTAAACAAAGTCAGCAAGCGTGTGTGTGGCTGCGCCCACGGTCTTCCACAACCACCTCTGCGACCCTGGTCCCTGCTCTTCCCCAGCCTGGCCCACCCCAGGCCCGGCTGTTCCCTTCCCCGACCTGGCCCGAGCTCCTATTTCAGGCGGGAGCCCTTCGCGGGCTGTCCTCTCCGACGACTCCGAGAGCCTTTGCCTCCCGATGCCTCTGATGCCACCGTCCCTTGCACCGCCCTCGAGACCGTCCCTTGCACCGTCCCACTGCCCCCCAGCTGGCATCCTGCAGTCTCCCTACCAGCCTGCAGCCCTGCCCCGCCAGCCGCTGCAACCACAGCGCCCAACCGCACCTGGCGCCCTGCAGAGGGCATCTGCGCCTCCACATACCCGGGCTCCTTCTTAGCTGCATCCAGGCAGAGGTGTCCTTCCTTCCACCCAAGCTGCCCTCCGCCTGGGTCCCCAAGTGCGTCCTCCATGCCCCTCAGGCCGGCTGGGTCTCTCACTCCTCCGCCATGCACTTTCCTCTCCACAGCTCCCTCCTCCCGTCCACATACACGTGCTCTGGAGTTATTGCCCAAGCCCTCTTCAAGTCTGGGCCCTGCCGGGCTGCCCCTCGGTCTTCCGGCTCTACAGTCCAGCGAACCAAAAGGGCAGACCATGGCCCAGACCATGTCTCTCCCTGATTGCACAAGTCCGCCTGCCTTTGCCAAGGCTAAAGGGCGCTTCCCCGTGCTAACTGCACAAGCCCCGACTAAACCTCTCGCTGGATGCACGGCCCACCTCTCTTCAGTGCCCGTGTGTCACTTCCCTTCCTCCTTCTGTCCCTCGAATGTTCTGTCCAGAGGTCACTTAAAACACTCTTCTGCTGAGCACAGTGGCTCACGCCTGTCATCCCAGCATTTTGAGCAGCTGAGGCAGCAGGATCGCTTAAGGCCAGAAGTTCGAGACCAGCCTGGGCCACAAAGCGAGACCCTGTCTGTACAAAAAATAGAAAAATAAGACAGGCATGGTGGCCGCACGTGTAGTACCAGCTACTCACTCTCATTGGATACACTGCCCACTTCTCTTGAATCCCTTTGTCACTTCCCTTCCTCCTGCTGTCCCTTGAATATTGGTAAGACCCAGAGTTCCATCCAAAGGCCTCTCAACAGCTCTTCTGGGGGTAAGGAAGGGGCAGTGGGTGGATGGACAGAGCTTCTGTCAGAAATGAAAAAGTCCCTCTCCCAGAAGAGAGCAAGTGGGTCTTCCTCCGCTTGCCAGCCATCTGACCGAGTGGCCACTGCCCTGGTATTTCCTCCGCGCCAACTAACAGTCTTTGGGTGGAAGCCAAAGCTAATTTCAAAGCTGTGCTATTCTCCATTATTGGGCATCATTTTTCATGAAATGACTGATGTTGCCTGTCCTAACAGTTTGCTGCCCTGGTTTATGACTCTTAGACATTTAGCGGCACTGTATCCACGCTACCCTTGTCCTCTCACCCAGGCCCTGCGACTGTCAGGGCCAGGCCTGATACCAACTCAACATGTGAAAACAGCCTCATGACGGCTCATGGACAACCATGACCTGGACTTGCCAGGTTCACGTTCCTCTGTGTAGCATGTGAGGCTGCCAGGGGCTGCCCCTGCTGCCCCACCTCCAGCTCACTCTTCCTGCCCCTCACTTCCGCCAGGATCAATACCACCTCATTATTTCTCAACTACCAAGGCTCGCCTCAATCCAACATCCCGCCTGGCCCTGCCCCCTGGGGTACCCCACAGGGTAGGGCCTAGCATGACCATCCCTTGCTGTGTGGCACCGACTCTGAGTCCAGCAAAGTCTCTGGCATCCCCATTGGCACCAGGCGCCGAGGAGTATTAAAAGCATATGGTAGAAACTGACAAGTCTGCAACTTAATAGAAGGCCAAAAACAAGGGTCATGACCAATGGCTCTGGAAAATACTTGTCTGGGGGAAAAAAAGTCATGGCAGAACCACTTTTATTCCTCAGACTATGACATCTTCTCCAGGAATAGCTGGGAATATGTAAAATATGCACAGAAAGTGCAGAGAGAACATCTTCACAATCTATTCAGTGACCTCAGATGTCCATTGCAAGACTCAACATTTTCCAAAATCTCAGACACAGTACTGAACATTCAAAAGAATATAGTCACTCTACTGACAATTAAAACAAGATAATAGAAGTTAAAACTGTCACTTGGGGGGGTAGGGAAAATGGATCCCATGATAGGAGTTAATTCAGAATCTTAAGAGATTTGACACACTCACACAAGCACAGACACGCACGGAGATCCAGAGTACTCTTCCATCAAACCGTGGACTATGACAATCCAACCCTTACACACGTTGAGAAAGTAACTAAGATACAGATAGATAAATAAATGGCAGGCATGTAAAAAAAAATACACACCTACACATTACACAAGAGAGGCAGATTGACTGTAAAATACAGATGTCACGAGAAGGCAAAGAGAGGTGTTCATCCATCAAATGCCTGTTTCTGTGCTGACATTCAGTAATAAAGTATGCGAGAGGGCGGTGGTACAGAATGCATACCGTAGGACATCATATGCAGAGGTGCAACTGTGCCTTGCAGACAGGCATTTCACCCTCACTTGCTCACGCAAACCTGAAGTCACCCCTGGATTACATGCTCACTTCCACCTGAATTCACTTCCATGAACTCACTTCCATGCTCAATTCACCCCTGGATTAGATACTCACTCACACCTGAATTCATTTCTGGATTACATGCTAACTTCACACCTAAATTTTTTTTTTTTTTTTTTTTTTTTTGAGTTGGAGTCTCACTCTGTTGCCCAGACTGGAGTGCAGTGGCTGCTCCTGGCCACCGCAACCTCGACCTGCTGGGCTCTGGCGATCCTTCCGCCTCAGCCTTCCCAGTAGCTGGAATTACAGGCGCGCACTACCACGCCCGCCTAATTTTTTGATTTATTGTAGAGATGAGGTCTCACCTGCCCAGGCGGGTCTCGAACCCGCAGGCTCAGGCAATCCACTCACCTCAGCCTCCCAAAGGCGCGGGATTACAGGCTGAGCCACCGAACCCGGCTTCATACCTAAATTAACACCTATTTACATGCTTGCTCAGACCTAAATTTGTCTCATAATCACATACCTACTCCCACCTAAATTCACCCCTGGATTACATACTCATTCACACCTAAATTCACTCCTGGATTATACACTAACTCGCACCTGAACTCATTTCTGGGTTACATGCCAACTCACACCTAAATTAACACCTATTTACACACTCACTCAGACCTAAATTCACCCTGAGATTACAAACTCACTCACACCTGAATTCTCCCCGGATGACATACTTAATCTAAAACTCACCCTGAACTACATACTCATAACTTAATTCATCATGAAATTACATGCTCACACCCATCTGAATTCACCCCGGACGACATACTCCTCACACCTCAATTATATATTCACGTCTATGTTTAAAACCACCCAACTGCTTCCTCTGGCCATCGCCCAAAGATGGTTTCATAGCACAGACAGTTACGTCACTGTCCTCCTCCTCTCTTTTATTGCAGAAGAAGAGTCTCTGAAGTTTAAGTGGGTATGTGGACAGCCTTTCCACACCGTTTGCCAACTTTCTTGCTGCCAGCTGTGGCTGTGTGACTAAATCCCAACCAGCAGATATACTGTACGCAATATATGTAAAGATATCGGCAGAAGTGTTGTATGCAACATCTGAGCCGCGTCCTTCAAGAGAGGACTGCATGCTCCCCTTTCTGTGTCTCCCTCCCCTCTGTCTGGGAGGTGTATGTGACTCCAGCAGCTGGGGCAACCATTTCCGTATCATGAGAGAAACCTCGTATCAGGATGCTAGAGCCTCGAGAGGGAAAGGGTCTACAGGCCTGCCCCGGACATCCCTAGCTGTTCCTTGGC